CAGTTGATCCTTCACGCATCGTAGTTGATTCTTCCAGCAGCTCAGCTTGTGCTACTGGAATAACAGTCGATTCTTCCAGCATCCCGGATTATCCTTCTAGCATCGCAGTTAACCCACTGTAGCATTCCAGTTGATCCTCTCTAGCATCAGAGTTGATCGTTCCAGCTCCCAGTTGATCCTCCAAGCATCCCAGTTGATAATTCCAGTTTCCGAATTGATACTCCTAGCATCCTTGTTGATGTCACTGGCATAACACCTGATGCTTCTAGCATCTCACTTGATGTTAAACGCAACCCAATTGACTCTCCTAGCATCCTAGTTGATTCTTCTAGCATCTCAGTTGATCCATCTGGCATCCCAGTGAATTCTTCTAGCATCCAAGTTGATACTTCTATGATCGCAGTTGATACAGTTAGTATCCCACTTGATGCTTCTAGCATCTCAGTTGATATTATGAGCATCCAAGGTGATGCTAGTAGCATACGTGGTGGTTCCAAAAATGAGCTCGTAATTGTTAGTTTCTGCAGTTTCGAGCCCACATTTTTTTTGACCTAAAAGAAGCCATTTGTCAATAAAAAATCTATTTGAAAATTATGAAAAATCAATGTTACCAATGGTTTCCTCGACCCCGAAAATCTTATTCTCAAGCTTTACAGTGGATTTTTATTTGATATGACCCTCCCTTCAGTCTAGCGAATAAGTCAAAAGCGAACTATATCCGTTGTTTAGAGAAATCGAGTCTCTACCAAATCATATAGAAAGAAAAAAATTGCTAAAATTTTGTAGGAACACAGAACACTGATGAGTATAAGAAGAGAAAACGAGAAACAAGAAAGACTTATCCTTCGAAAGGACACGTTCAGCTCTACAAAATGGACTATTCATTGTCTTTTTTTTTTCTTTTCATACTTGCAAAAGTTTCGTATTAAATAGAGAGCTTTTAATTTATTTTTTGAATATTCCATGTCATGTGACAATGAGTTTCAATAGAACATGGAAATCTCCTTACAATTTTGGAAATTTAACATTTCAGATATTACAAATAATTGTCGACATAAAAGAATTCTTTCAAAGTCCTTCTCTTAAAGACTAAGTTACAGAAAGTACTTTTTCATGTAGGAGAGCCAAAGATCTCTTCGACAATGATGATTCATTGTCTTTGTTTATTATAGTTATTCCCAATATTCCAATCGATGCTCAATGGTCACAGAATGAAGAGACCATTGCTGGAGGTAATGGACCCGGACATCAAACAAATCAACTCTCGAGGCCTAAAGGTCTTTTCGTTGATGATGATCAAACGATAATCATTGCTGACGGGATGAATGATCGTATCGTCCAGTGGAAGAAGGGTGAGACGAATGGAGAAGTTGTAGCTGGTCCAAAGGGCCAAGGAAATCAACTGGATGATCCAACCGATGTGCTGATCGACAAAGAGACTGATAGTCTCATTATATGCGATAGAGGGAATCGACGAGTTGTACGATGGCCTCGTTGTAGTGATACAACTCCAGGTGAAATCCTCATCGACAACATTGACTGTTATGGATTGTTCATAGATGATCAGAGATATATCTACGTCTCTGACTACAAAAAACATGAAGTAAGACGATATCAAATAGGAGACAAGAATGGAATTATCGTGGCTGGTAGACATGGGAAAGGTGCTCGTCTCAATCGACTTAACTATCCGACCTATATCTTTGTCGATCAACGACAGACTGTCTACGTGTCAGACAAGGAGAATCATCGTGTAATGAAATGGAATAAAGGTGCAAAAGAAGGTATTGTCGTCGCTGGAGGACAAGGCGAAGGGAAGGATGAGACACGATTGTCTTCTCCTCAAGGACTCTTCGTCGATACATTGGGTACCATCTATGTGGCAGATGCGGGGAATCACCGAGTGATGCGTTGGCCGAAAGGAGCAAAACTGGGTACTGTCATTGTGGATGGAAATGGTGAAGGAGCAAGAGCAAATAAGTTCAGTGCTCCCGAAGGTTTGTCTTTCGATCGACAAGGCAATCTCTACGTTGCCGATTGCGATAATTATCGTGTTCAGTTTTTTTCAATTCAATAAATTGTATTCGACTCGAAAAAAAATTTTTTTATTTCTAATCGCATGCGCGGGCGACCAGGAGCCATCCTGGTGGAGCCGTGGCGACCGTATCGGTTGTACATGCGGGTGTGGGTGTGGGTGTGGGTGTGGGTGTGGGTGCGGGTGTGAGTGTGGGTGTGGGTGTGGGTGTGGGTGTGGGTATGGGTGTGGGTGTGGGTGTGTGGGTGTGTGATGCACTTGTCCTCTTCACTCACACCCCAATCCATCCCACACCCCGATCCACACCCCCCACCTACATCCCTACCCACACCAGGGTTGTCACCTGTGTCGCTAGTATCTACGTCGTTGTCCGAATTGTCCGAATTACTCATGTTGACTGTAGCGATCACCTGGCAACGCTGACCCACACCCCCACTCCCACCCACCCCCGCACCCACACCCACGCCCCACCCACGCCCCACCCACGCCCCCACACCCACACCCCACCCACACCCACACCCACATCCACACTCTTGTATTTTCAGTACTGTCGAAATGAAAGTTGTGGTTAATGTGACCTTTTTAACTCTTTAAAAAAAAATGAAATATACAGAATTGTAGAACAAAAAAAGCTCTACAAAACTATGTAAAACACTAGTTATTGGGATAGTTTAATAGTGACCAATAAACATCATTTAATATCATAGGCAACCTATATCTTCAATGATATCGGGAAAATAGTCTATATTAGGAATTTTTTTTTAATCAATGGAAATCAGTCCGTCTTATATGTCATTAGATGTAACTTTTTAAGCTCTACAAAACCCTGTATTCAGTTTTTTTAAATGGTGAAGTTTATAATTCCGGCAGGATCTTTTAATAGTTGTAAACCAATAGAAAGAGTTCTTTTCTAGGAACTATTTTTTGTAGAAATCACGTATATTTCCGAAGAAAATAGTGAGTGTAAGTTTTCAGTTCGAGGTTGGCGGCTCCCCCCTCCCCCTCCCCCATCACAGACATACCACCATTACAGACGTTAGCAACCGGGCATAAAAACCTTCAACTTTATTTAACAATAAACAGAGAGTTGAACAGTATGAAGAAAATTAGTTTGAGTGTCATACAATATTTCAATGTTTTCATAAATATTGGAAAAAACTAATATAATTTGTTAAAGTTCCTAATAATGTAATCACTGATTATTTTTTAGAATTTAAATTTGCACGTAAAAAATCAACAATAAAGAGTAATAATATGTATTGATCGGTCATACCGATGGTACAATCGATGTAACAAACATGATTCTACCTTTGTATCAGTGTCAGACGTATACAATATCGCCATTTATGAATTAATTGAGATATATAATAGTGTGATGAGAGTGGTTTACAGATATAAACTGCATTATTCTAATAGTCTTATTGATGAAATAATCGATGATGAAAAAAAAAGTAATTTCAAATAAAAATAAACAAAGAAAAATGATTATTATTGAGTGTATAGCAACAATAATAAAAAAAAAGATGGGGCGCGCTGAAGCGAAAAAGAGAGTTTCAATTTTAAATGTAGAAATTAAATGATCAATTGTTTTTCTTGTCAGCAATTATTTACAAAGAAAACCTCTAATCGACGAGAAAGCTTTCAGTTTACAGATGACGTATTAAGATAACAAGACTGAAGGATATACGTGAGTTCCACATTTTAGCTCCAAAGGAGCTGCGTTAACAAGCCTTTTTTATTTTGCTTTTATATCAAATTTGAAATTAGTTTCATGAATGATTTAAAAATAACAATGTCTTCAATGTTTTACATTTTATATTTTCAAGCAAAATATTTTAAAATGAATGAAAATAATCAATTATTACATTTAGAGGACCTACCGAATGAGGTATTTCATTATGAAATTTTTCCTTATTTTTCATGGGAAGAATTATATTATTCATTCTTTGATCTTAAGCACCCCCCCCCCCCTACCACTCAAAAATCGATCTCAGCCCAGAAACATTCAAATGGGCTGAAGTGAGGAGGCTGTGGTAAAATTTTCAACTCTATTGACTGACATTTAACAGAGATATGAACCAAATAAGGGTCAAAAATAGCTCATTTTTGGACAAGGATTTCTCAGTCTAGGCTCAGTAAATATATTTAAATTTTTTTTGTTGGAAAGAGCTCGTCGAGATGCAGGTCACCACAGAGTCCTTTTTTTAAAATTCTTACCTTTTTTGCGGAAAAAGGGGATCACAAATTCAATGATTCAAAAAACGCCCCAAAAATGAGTGTCTATGTGCGTACACCTAATAAAAAACAAAGGTTAATTTAAAAGAGGACTCTGTGGTGACCTGCATCTCGATGCGCTCTTTCAAACAAAAAAAAAATTTAAATATATTGACAGAGCCTGGACTGAGAAATCCTTGTACCAAGATCAAAAAATCATAAACCGAGAAAGAACGAAAAACATTTTTTGATTTTTCAAAAAACAGCTGGTTTTTCGAATAGGGATTGACGGAAATCTTGAAAATTTTTTGGAAAAAATGAAGTAACGAGAAAAACAAATTATCGTTTATGAAAGAGCAGATGACGGGCTACCTTCCCATGTATTTATCTCAATTTTGACCATTCCGACGAAAACTGACTTTTTATGAGAGGGAGGGGGGACATTAATACACGTTTCAGTAAAATTCTTCAATCATTAACAAATTTAGATTTTACCGTCGATTCTTTAAATGAGCATCATCCAGCACTTTCTTTTTTTGCTTCATATATTGGATGTCTAACAGTATAGCTTGGACAATTTGACATAGCACCATTTTCTGCTCTGCGTTCGCTAACTCTTAAATATCCAAGTTTGAAACAGCGAAACTCTATCCGACCTGAAAATTTTCGTTATCTTGAATATTTAAATCTTTCTTATCCACTTGAAGATTCAATTCTTTAATATCTAATCTTTTCAAATGCTTTTGAACATTTAAAAACATGCAAATTCGATCGAATTTCTACTAATCATCCTTGGAAAGGTTTCCCAAATCTTCGTTCACTATCAATTAGTGTATATGATTCATATGGAATTATTTGTGTACTTCCGGCTTGTCCAAATATATCTCGATTAAATATTATTGTATATGAAACGCCTCAAAATAATCTAACTCTTCCACGGCATTCTATTTCTTGTATGAATTTATTTCTTCAATATCTCTTCATTCGTTCGACATTCGGAATACTTGCTACAATTTTGAAACTTATACCTAATCTAAAATGGCTTACTTTTGATGATATTCAATGTTATAAAAATGAAGCAAATGCAGGATTAAATTTCAAAACTTTGTCTAAGACTCTCTCAATTCCTGAACAACTCTCTTACCTTCATTTTACAATTTTAATGTCCCAATAATAATTTACAAACACCTTTGCATACTTTACATCCACTCTTTAAACATGTTAAATATGTTGACTCATCTAAAGTGATACTGTCTGGTTCTGTTATATAAAATACGATATTTTCAATGATTTAAATTCTAATTTTTTTCATTTTTATGTTCTTTTCCTTTGTCATATTGATTTAAAAATATCAGATATTAATTATTCGTTAAATACAATATTTTTCTCAATGTATTTGAAATTATTCAGTTAAGATTTCGTTTATGAATTACTTTTCCTTTATTTGCAATTCATTTAGATGAGTAGGTCTTGATATATGTTTCAATATACATATATAATAATTAAAAATGTGATAATGACAATAATTATTGACCAGCTAAATATTTGAATTCTCTAACTTTATTCGTTAAATACCAAGTAGAACGATATGGTTGTTTGTTATAGTACCATTTCTATAAAATCGATGTATATAGTTTCAGACCAATTTTCAAAACATTATTCATATATTAATAATGATAGATTGTGGGCTATTCAATTGAAAATCGAACTCAATTACAAGGGCATATACATTACTGAATTTGATATTAAAGATGTTAATGCATAAAGCTTCATTAGGAGCGAGATATATATTCGTAAAAATTTTTATTCATTTAACATTTTATAGGACAACTATCAAATTAATGAAGGATATAGACTCATACAAGTTTACTAAAATTAAGTTCTCAAGGCCGAAGAACTTCAAACTAGTTTCGTTCATATAGAAACCTCATACAATGACCAATATGTGTCTCGTATGAAGATAAGATGTGTATATACAGTGAATCCCAAAATTATTCGGCTAGGTTTATTTCAATATTTTTTTCATGCTGTCGTAATTAGTAAGGAAAATTCGAATAGTAGTTTGAGTAGGAAATCAGTTGTGACTTCACAGGATAGAGAATACAATTCTCCTCATAAAGTGTCCAAGAATTTCAGATATGTTTTCAAAATTCATCTTTCTTGCATTCAAAAAATGCGAAATCTTTGAAACATTAACAGAAAATCAGACATACTCGGTACGACATAGCTTCAAAGTTTCAGGTCTACAGCTTGTACTACCAATGAGAAACAGTAACAATAACAAAATGCACTATTTCAATTTTTCTGATCATCTTGGTTATGATTAGAAAATGTTCAAATAATGGAAACAACAAGAAGTACTCAATAATAGGTATCAATACTCGCATCATTGATTACCATCTTGATCAATTACTAACTTTAATCGTGCTGGTATTGTATCCATTATTTTGTTGACATAAGGAAATACTCAATTTGTTCAATTCTTTTTACATTTTGAGTTATTCAAGGTCATTGTACTCTAGTCCTCGTAGTTTCTCTTTTAGTGGACTGCAAAGATCGGCTAATTTTGCAGTACAATTTTTCGGTTCAATTCAATGGATAAATACTTGTTTAACGACGTGCAAAGCTACCAGAATCCTTTGTTTACGATCTTGATCATCTTGAAAAATAACAGTTCATAAACCACCTAATTCTACAGCTGTTTTTTTCTGTTGAAATAGTTCGAATAAATTTCGCATCCCTATCGCTAGTAAAATAGATTTTCTTGCGATGATCATCATCTCTTGGTGTAATCATTCATTGATAAAAATCCGAGATTCCTTGGGAAA